AACAACAACAACAACAACAACATCATTATGTTATGTATCTGCTATTCTAAAAAGTACCATCTAAGGGAACATTTAAGTTAGGATTGGCTTAAATTCAATTTCCTAGGTTTTTAAAACTAAGTGAAAAATTCTAAAGTAACTTTTATTTAATAGAGGTCTCTTTCTCTCTCCTCACTGGTCACCCAATGGTTAGCCACTCACCAGCTAACTGAAAGGCCAGAGCTTCAGTTGACCAGCAGCTCTATGAGAGATTTCAGATAAAGACAGTTGCTGATGTTGTGTACCATCGAGTCAATTCAGGGCAGTTCTACTTTGTCCTATAACCTTCCTAAGTATTGTAAATATTACTGTTCAGAAATCATACAGGGTAGTTCTACTCTGTCATACGGAATTGTTAGGAACTCAATGATACTCAACAACAATAACATCATATAGCATTGTAGTTAAGAACACACGTTTGCTTTTTAGTTAGACATTTAAATTTCCACTGTAGACTGTTGTGTGATATTGGAGAAATTATTTGACTACTGTAGAGTTCCATTTCCTCATCTATGAAATAATGCTAATAGTAGTCACACTGTAAATTTTATGAATAATATGTGCAAAGTGATTAGCACATCAGAGTCAGAGATGGTGAAACAAAGCAGTGGTGGCAGTAGTGGCAATGATAATAGTGATGGTGATGATGATGGAGGAGATGGTTATGGTGTTGACTTGATTTTTCACTAAAGCATTGGAGATTAGCTGCCAATTAACTATTAGTGGGAAACATAACATAAAATAGACAAACAAGAGTGTCTTATACTAAAAGTGGCATAAGACCTATCTGTTCAATAAGCTCTCTCATTGCCATCAATCAGCCCTATTTTGGAGCCCTGAAGAATTTGCTGAGAACCCTTAGCACTCAGTCCAACATAGCTTAAAATCTTACTTACCTAATGGAATGACAGAATAATTGTTCACTTACTTTAGATCGAGGGGTGGTTTAATGTTCCTGGGAGGTAGGCTTGGGACTGGTGGTTGTGTTGGATGAGCTACTGGAAGTGGTGGTTGGCTGGCTGGATGGGATGGTGGAGGTGGTGGGAGGGAAGTTGTTGAGTAAGACGTTGGACCTTTGCTGGTACCTAAGAAACAAAATGAAGAATACCATGTTTTGAGAGAAATCTTAAAAATATACACACTTGCTATTCTAGGTATGAAAAAAATATGAGAAGCTACAAGATGAAGATGTTAAAAATATATCGCATTGAACCATCATGAGACTGTGGGAATCTGAAATATTCTCCAGCTCTGTTGGCTACAGAAATGCTTCTCTCTTTTTCTTTAATTTCTCTCTCTCTCTTTTGTGTAATTTCATATATTATGCTTTTGAATTACTCCTGTTGCCAGGTTCACTGACTGAATAGAATTTATATTTCTTATTCTCATTGTTTTGGGGTATCTTTTTGAAATGAAAA